AAGAACTGGGCTTGATCTTGGGTATTTGCAAAACATACATGCTTTACAAACTTAAGGGTATTGATTTTCTACCTCCTGAGCAGTTGAAACCGGCTACTTTAAGTTTGCCGGAAGAGTCTGTTTCTTATAAAGAAAAGTGTGGTGGAAAGGTTAGTCAAAAATTTAGTTGAAATATATCTAGATCAATGACTAAAGAATACAAGGACAAATAGCACCCGAGACCAAACTGTGACCATTCTTCCAAACAGTGCAGTGGTACATATTTTTCTTAACATAGCTGCTTGAAGCGATATTTACATTTTTGATAAATGTTTTCATTACGCCTATGGTGTATTTGGTGGTATCATACTAATTAACTACGAAAAAACATACTAAAATGTTAACAAAAGGTACAAAACTAGTATCGACGTATAGCACATATCAAGTACATATAATATGAGAAAAAGAATTATCAAATTCAATCAAAAAACGTTAAAAAGGTGTAGTGGACTGTTTATTTCCCTATAAAACGTAACTCCTGGCTCTTTTTTATCATTGCGCCTTTTACACTTGAAAACTGAACAAATTACCATTGTAATAAAGTTTATACAAAGTTCACTACACGTAACCAACTATTAAAAATCGCTAAAATTGTCGCTGATGGCCAGCTGATGACTCATTCGTTATGTCCAAAAAAATGGCGTCTAAGGTCACAAATTCTGCTGCATATCCTTGTATTCTTTAGTCATTGATCTAGATCATACTGTAAAAATACAGGGTGGCCCAGTGTTTTGAAAAAAATATATTAGTGGTGATTCAAATATATTTTTAAACTAAAGTTAGATCTTTCTAATGAAATGCTGTCATTTTTTGCCATGTTCCACGGTCAATCTTACTGTAGGTTGCCCAATAATTTCATTCTTCTTTTTTATTATAGTCCCCAAGATAACATCTTTTGTTTAAGTTAATTTAGATAATTTTTTTTTAAATATCTAAAGTTCTACAAGGTGTTCCCAAAAAAGTTACACATCAAATTTGTGTTTTTGTAATGGAACACCCTATATATTAATTGATTTTCGGATTCTAGGAACAAAATAAAAGTAAGCTCCATTAGAAAAGTATATGACTAAAACGTAAGGTTTTTGACATGCATCTATAACTTTTTCTAAAAATGAAGTAGAACTTGTAAATTTCAATAAAGGCTACCTGAATTGGAATTTACCGGGTATAGCCTAGTACGTAGATATAAAATTAAAACTTGATCTGAAAAGTTATACAGGGTGCGACAAAATTAATATTGAACATTGCTCACTTTTAAAAGCAAGTTACTCTTTTATTTTAAATAGAACACCCATTATATTATTCCGATATTCAACGGAGGATTCGTGTCTCTTCAAAATACTGTTAAGGTTGCCTGCCCCTCAGACAAAGATTTTTCTAGATAGTTTCATTTTTATGAATTAGGGTCATTAGATCTTTATTATTTGATAAAATCTAGGTGCCTAATGTTAATTTAACAAAAAATTAAAAAAATAACTTTAGGGTATAAGAATTCCTTATAAAAAAATATTCAGATAAAAGCTCTGCCGATTAATGATATAAAATACATTTCTATTTCAAATAGCAGAAAAAAAAACAACAGACACGCCCACTTATGGCCTCCAAAACTGTGCACAGTGCCTGACCGGCACAGTTATTAGAGATATATTGCAAAACCGAAGAGCGTCATGCAGTATTTACGCGTACCTTATCATGGTTACGACACAGGTTACGATATGCGCGAGTCAATTTTTAACGCATCGCCCGCTAATAACGTTACAGCCTGACGTAATTTGCGGATCAATTACACCAAGCGCTATTTCTAAATAACGTTTAAAAATTGCTTAAATGGGCATGTGCGGGTATTTGACAACCGGGGCCGGCCGGCGAGATCTTTTATTTTAGGTTATGTTTGAATTGTTTTGAATTATTACTTTAGTTTTATTAGGTAATTTGATATATTTAAGTAGCTGGGATTAGTTTTAGTTAAATAAATATGGCACAAAATATGGATTCCGCCTCTTCCAATATTAAAGAACCTATGAAGAGGTTTAGGTTTACAGCAGATGACGACTTAGCCCTTCTAAGAGAATCTGTTGCTTGTTGCTCTAAACCCACTAGCAGACGTTGAACAATAAAGCACTGGAAATAAGCACTTTAGCCCTTTAGTTTTAAAATACCTAGTAAAAACAAAACAATTTCAAAGTTTTAAATTCAAAGTTAGGTTAAGTTTAAATAGCGGACGCGACGCGAACAGAATTCTTTCCGATCCGATAACTATAAATGAAGAGAGTTAATACCTAATACCACCCCACGTAAAGGAAATAACACCTGGCCTTATTGACGTCCATGCACGCTATTCGGTTTAGCGATATCTCTCTATTACGCTGTTTATTGTTATTTTACGCGAGTTTATTTTTGCGCACAGGAAATTTTACTCGTTTGCACATCGTGTGGCTTAACACGACAGGATCGGGCTAAGCCTTGGGCTGATTTCTGAAATATAATATATATTTCCTTCGGTCACACATCCGCTTTACCCGACCCCTGAGAGCGACCCGAAAGTACAGCGTAATAGACTCTTAAGAACACTCATATGGCTCACCCTGTATAATGATTTATGCAACGTCGTACTTATTCAGATAACCAAACAACGAAAACCCGTTCCGTCGTTATTCAATAGAAAAAGGGAACAACATCAAAAGAAAAATGAGGATATGATAGCAGATAACAGAAACAATGGATATATACCGGCCAATTTAAGTTTGGACTATAATTCAGATAGTGGTCTGGGCAAGTAAGTAAAATTTTAAGACATTTTGTATGCAGTTAATAAGAAGTTTTAATTTTCACAAGTTTGTCGATAAATTGTCGTGCGAAAACATCAGATTCTGATTTTTCTGATAACGAAGGTGGTAAAATGGCCAAATTGTATCACAGTTGGGGAAGAATAAGACAAGCTGCATTAAATTTACTTTCTAGTGCGATAAAAGTAAGTAGAGTTTGTTCAGCGAGCGAAAGAACGATTTTGACAGAAGACTTAACAGAAATTAACGGGAAAGACAATTTATTTTCCACATATTATAGTGTTGGTATTAACAACTTTTGAAAGTGCCATTTACACTGAACCCTGACACTTTATTTTAAAATCAAGACATTCAAAACAATAACATTTGTATTAAAATTTAAAAAAAAACTTTGAATTTTGGACAATATTGGTTATATTGTATTATACAGGGTGTCCCAGAAAAAAGTGCAAGTATTTTAAGGGGTGGTAGATCTCGATAAAAGAAACATATTTTCTCTTTATCGTTTTTCAAACAAGTCCAAAATAACGGAGTTATTTTACTTTGAAAATTTCCAAAAAAAATGATTTTTTGCTAAAATTTTGAGAACCACTGGATCTTTCTGGATTTTCTTTCTTGTAAATTTAATCTGCTACCTATGTTGCCATATTATCAAGAAATTATGTTTTTTAACTAGAAACTAAAAAAAAATTCAAATCCGCGAAAAAAACTCATAGGCGTGTTTCTGGGGTTGAACTATACTACCTGTTAAAATACTTGCACTTATTTCTGGGACATCTTGTATATATTACATATATTATATATTGCATTTTCTGTCATTTTTTGGATGCCGTCTGACGAAATCGTTCCTGAGATGTTGGACAAACTATACAGGGTGTTTCAAAAAACCTGTGCCATTTCTCGTGGAGAGATTCCTCACGTAAAAATATGATTTATTTTTTATAACATAGGTCCAATTATGCTTTGTTTCGTAGCTACAGGGAAAGCCTTAATTTTTTTTCGATTTATTATAATTTTCTTCCAAGCGCTTTTAGCGATTCCAGTGAAATTTTGAGGATATAAGTTACTATAAGTGCCACATAATTTAATGCTAAGAAGGTGTCGGCAGATTCATCAGAGACGTGCATATAGAGTTATCGCTGGAATAATTTTCTAAAAAAAACATGTGCGCCACTGACTTTTTTCTCTTCCGCAAAATCCGGTAACCATAGTAAATTTTTGTTATTTTTAATATAAAATTCAACTGAAGTGATTAAAAAGTACTCCCTCAATACAAAAAGAAATGCAACGAAGTTACAATTAAGAAATAAATAATAAATCAAATTCAATACAAATTTCACTAGTTTGAAATGACGCGTAGAAAATTGTGACGTCGCCTATCAGCATTTGACTGAATAGTTGACAGAGGGCGCGAGCCTCTGAATAAAAATATTATGGCGTGTCTAGTTCTCTGCTACCGTATTTACACCATATATCTAAAATCACGTTAGATTTTTCTATTTTTATTAAGATCGTTAAAAAATACGTTTTTATGTGGGATTATTCTTTATTACCCCAATATTAAATCTACTTTTATATTTTTTACTACTAGAAATTAAAACTTAAATTTATATAATTAACAGGTTACTGCCATTTTTATCGAAGCACTAAACACTACCAAAGTTGTTCGGATATTCGAGGCGTTCAAGGGTTCGAGGTTAGATTTGTATTTTGTGGATTTTGCGTTTGGGGTTAAATACTTTGAGTTTTCAATTTTGTTTTATTGTACCTTCTTTATTATTTTTGTAATGGAGGGTGTTAAAATTTGTTTTGCGAAGGGCTGTCTAAATAACTATGAAGGCTCTCCAGAAAAAAGTTTTTATAACTGTTCCTTTGAATGAAAGCCGTCGAAGAGCCTGGTTTGAAGCGGCAAGACAACAATATGTCAGCAAAAGTACGAGATTTTGCTGTGAAGATCATTTTAACGTAAGTTCCTTAAGTTTTATTTTACAATTAATTTTATATCTACTTTAAAATACCTTTAGAAAAATGGTTTTTATTTACCTTTGTACCTGGTGGCAAATCGTGACACTTTTGATAGGTGACGTCAGAGATTGCAAAAGTGTAAATTTGAAATTCTTAATATTAATTAATTTAAAAAAAAATGGGATGATATTGAAGTAAAATAAAAAAATACGGGTGTCATAAAATTGTATGAGATTAATTATTTGCAATAAAAAAAAACTATGGTTAAACTCCGGATTGTATAGGCCGTTTATTTAATGCCGATTAAAAGTTGTATCTTAACATTTCATTCACAAAATGTCATTCGAATCGCTAAAAGCACTTGGAAGAAAACTATAATATATCCAAAATAATGAAGTTTTTAACACCCTGTAGCTACGCTATGAAACAAAGCAGAATCGGACCTATATTGATATAAAGAATCTCCCTACGCGATATTGCCCATGTTTTTTTGAAACACCCTGTATAGAGTTGTGGGATTTTCAAGGCATCATAATCAAAATACTGATTTTAGCGTACAGAGAATCCAGTTATATTCTCATACTGGACCCACTTCATCCCAGAGGGTCCATCATTGGGACAACATAATTTAACAACATGTATTCTTAAAGATACCTCTGTCAGAGGTAGAATGTGTGCCCTAAATGCTTTGATGCTGCTTCTCACTTCTTCAAAATGGTATTTGGCACAGGCAGAGCCCAGGTTTGTTAAAATATAATTTGTGTTACTTTTTTTCTTACTCAAGATAGTACAATTAAATGTGGATATTTTTATAACTATACAACTATGATTGAAAATACAGAATTTTCCATAATGACATTAATACAAAAATATTTATAGTGGTGATTGATTATTAATATTATTAATTAGTAACTTATTCAAAGAAAAAAACTTCATATAGAATATACGACCTAAATATCTTAACTTTTAAATACAGGGTTGTAAAATTTTCTAAACATTTTTTTTTCATAATAACTCTGATGTTACTATAGACACAGATTATACAGATTATAATCTTTGTTGTTTTTCGTGGTTCCAATTTTCGGAATGGGGCACTAGTTAGGTTACTAGTTTGAGCATATAGCACGCCCACTTATGACCTCTAAAATTGTGCACAGCCCCTGACCGGCACAGTTATTAGAGAGATATCGGAAAACCGGAAGCGTCATGCAGTATATACGCGTACCTTATCATGGTTACGATATGCGCGAGTCAATTTTTAACGCAACGCCCGCTAATATCGTTACCGCCTGACGTAATTTGCGGATCAATTATACCCAGGTAAGGTTAACTATTCTTGAATTACACCAAGCGGTATTTCTAAATAACGTTTAAAAATTGCTTAAATGGGCATCTGCGGGAATTTGACAACTGGGGCCATAAGCGGCTAATGTACAATCCCATCCCGCGACGCGACGTTGCACACAAGGACTTTTTTATATATTTTTTGCTTATAGCAAGAAAAATATAATTGTTATAATAAAAAAAAAATATAATGCATTGGTTTCACTCTTTTTGGTTGGATGGGTTTAGTTATTTGGCAAGTTGGTTAGCGTGGTTATTTGGAGGGTGTTAATTCATTGGTTAGTTGGTTATTTGGTCGCGGGATGGGATTGTACATTTAGCCGCTCGTACCGGGGCCGGCTGGCGAGATCTTATATTTTAGGTTATGTTTGAATTGTTTTGGATTATTACATTAGTTTTATTAGGTAATTTGATATTTAAGTAGCTGGGATTAGTTTTAATTAAATAAATATGGCCCAAAATATGGATTTCACCTCTTCCAATATTAAAGAACCTATAAAGATGCTTAGGTTTACAGCAGATGACGACTTTCTTCTAAGAGAATTTGTTGCCCTAAACCCACTAGCAGACGTTCAACAATAAAACACTGGAAATAAGCACTTTAGCCCTTTAGTTTTAAAATACCTAGTAAACAAGACAATTTCAAAGTTTTAAATTCAAAGTTAGGTTAAGTTTAAATAGCGGACGCGACGCGAACAGAATTCTTTACGATCCGGTAACTATAAATGAAGAGAGTTAATACCACCTCACGTAAAGGAAATAACACCTGGCCTTATTAACGTCCACGCACGCTATTCGGTTTACCGATATATCTCTATTACGCTGTTTATTGTTATTTTACGCGAGTTTATTTTTGCGCACAGGAAATTTTACTCGTTTGCTCATCGTCATAAAAAACAATTTTCGTACCACGAATTAGGGACAAGATTTTTATCTGTATACTTATAGGATACCTAATCTGTGATAGTACAATTAAATGTGGATATTTTTATAACTATACAACTATGATTGAAAATACAGAATGTTCCATAATGACATTAATACTAAAATATTTATAGTGCTGATTTATTATTAATATTATTAATTATTAACTTATTCAAAGAAAAAACTTCATATAGAATATACGACCTAAATATCTTAACTTATAAATACAGGGTTGTAAAATTTTCTAAACATTTTTTTTTCATAATAACTATGATGTTACTATAGATATCTGTATGAAACTTGATACACATCTTCATTGCATCAAAATGCCTTTTTTTGATCTACAAACAATTTTATTTCTATTAGCCATTGGGGTCCACAGACTAGAAAAATCGCAAAACAATTTCCGATGCACGTGAGTGACAAGCAATGGCGTCAGCGCTGCCAGATTGTGATATGATTTATGATATGAATCTTAATTTAAAAGTGACAAACAATATATTTATTATATCATTTTTTAAAGATTTTTACGTTTTATTTTTAATTTAGCAAATAATATTTTAGTAATTAATTGATTTATTTGTTTTCTAGCTTATTTTACTTATTACATATTGACAAAAACTAGTCCACTATGAAGATTATTCTAAGCGTTGTTATGGGTTATTTATTTATTTATTGATGTACATCTTACAACGCCATAAGTGGTAATTACAAGTAAGAGGGTGCTATTAATACACAAACTAATAATCACAGAATTTAATAAAAACTAACGTAGAAATAACTTTGAAAGTGGTGTAATGTGCTTATCAATCAAACTTACTTCTCTGACTGTAGTCAAGGGTAATAAAGGACCTTTATTGTCACGTTCTGGTTCAAAATAGTTTTATCAGGGAAGCTACAAGGTCTTTGCTTCGACTGCTTAAATGCTTCGGCATTTTTCAACACACAATATCAAGAAATGCTATATAAAAACTCGAAAATTTAGTTCTTAAAAGAACTGTTTGTGCTTTTAAAGTACAATTTCTAAAGAAAGACTATGAAAATAGGCAAAAAACGAGAATTACTCACAAAGATTCAACAACAACACGATATTATACAAAATAATGACTGACATAGGATAATTGTCAAATAATAAACGACAACCTAATTTTTGCAGCTTTAATCTAAATAATATATCTGTTACAATCATTTGCTCTATAAAGTCAAATGAAGAGGTGCTTGGTATCAGAAATTATACAACAAATTTAAACATTTTTGCCAAAATTTTATTTAGTCAAGTTTATAGATTTTATTGTCAGTGTCGATATGATTGATGACATAATGTTTGGCGATTACAATAGAAACCACGTCACAAAATCAAATTCTGAACAATATTAAGCATTTTTCGATTCTTTGTCAACTAACCCTACTTTCTGCATATGTATAAAGATTTTTGTAATTTGCCACCATGGCGGTTGTGGCATATGTGTCAAAATTATTTTTTTGTCATAGGATCATGCCGAAGAATCCTTATAAACTGGTTTTCAGTAACTCAATAATAATAAAAATTTCCATTTGTTACACCCTGTATGTTAATTTATTAAGCCCCGTTCTCAGAACTTTGTATTGTCGCCAGCGACACATCAAATGAACCAATGAGATTTGTACAAAATTCAAACAGCTGTCAATTTTAAATTTAGTATAACTCTCATTGGTTCTTTGAAGTGTCAATCAGTGTCACTGGCGACAACACGATGTTCTGAGAACGGGGCTTTAGAGTTAAGGCGCAGTCTCACGACTCGTGTACTTGACAAACATTTGTTATTGGAATATACTCGCCATGTCGTGAGAATGGTTTCCTTGGTCACTCGTCACGTCTCCACTCTCTGTCGGTAAATATAGCCCGAGTCATAGGATCACAATAATTATTCGTACATTTGCCAAGTGTACTTGGCCAGCTTTGTCTATACTTGCCGAGGCGCAAAAAAACGACTGCGCAAATAATTGTACTGTTATAGAGTATGTCCCGTTTATTTTCGGATCGTAATGTATTTTGAGTTAATTGCGGATAATTTAAAACGTTAAAACAATAATAGATTATATAATATCAAATTTACATTAATAACTCCAATATTGGCGACATATCTAAATCGTTCTCACAGCACTAAATGGAGCGGACAAATGAAGACTACACGGAAAAAACCAGATATGTCACATTTTCATAGAAATTAAGATAGCGATACAACTTTATAGACAAATGTTAACGTCATTCGAGAAAAAGAAAGCAATAATATGCTTTCTCAGAGATATTACAGCTTGGTTATTTTGCAGTACAAAGGAAAAAACCAGAGTAGTCAAAGCGTAAATGGCAAAAACCAGCGATGTACTTACGCATGGGCGATGCGTCATGCATCTTGCAATTAGTATTATAGATTATAAATTTATGTATTGTAAAAAAACCTACTTAAATATTAATTTTCTTCCTACAACAAAAAAATAATAGTTTACATTTAGGTTTTATACAACCTTTAATTGGACATCCCTGGTTTTCCCCGTTTTGTTTTGCATTTTAACATTTTTATTTCGGTATTTCAGAATATGAAAATAATTCACAATATTAATAATTCAGAATTGGTAATATATTTTTCTAATTATTCAACCGAAAATAACATATTTCTTTAAAAACACTAAATTGCATTTTTCTTGGCTCCAATTAAAATGGACAAAACTGGGGTTTCCCGTGTAGTCTTCAAATGATGTTGTTTTGGAATTTATGGATTTATACGAAAATGAGCCCTTCATATGGATTGCCAAACATAAAGAACATAGAAATCGTATTGCATTGTACAATAAAAGAATTAAAAAAGAAAAAAGAATCACTAGCAACGACAATTTGGAGACGACTGGTATCCATCGATGCGACTATACTGTTTACTTGCCAAGGATTTAAACAATGTTTGTGCTGGCGTACTTGTTGAAATGGACACGTCGTGTGAGCGCCACACTTGCCGATGTTGTTTACTAAGTGGGGACTGGTGGGGATACTTGCCAAGTACGCAAATATTGACGTACTTGCCAAGTAGACGAGTCGTGAGAGATGTTGTTTACCAAGTGGGGACTGGTGGGAATACTTGCCAAGTACGCAAATATTGGCGTACTTGCCAAGTAGACGAGTCGTGAGAGTGCGCCTTTAGATTAAAAAAAACTGACGTATGACATATTTTGACAATTCAGCTATACAATCTAATTAAAAACTACATTATTAATCTCTTTAAAGTTTGTTTAATCATCTATCATTTGACATCTTATAGTGTAGCAATATCCACATTAATTTGTATAATCTACATTTAACACTATTTTTAAATTTATTTATTTTTCTTAGCGATAAGTCATCAAGTTTCACTCCCTTCTCAGTGGTTTTGGGTCTGACCCTAATCGAATTGCACAGAACTCTTAGTTTAGCATTGTGTCAATTATCTGTGCCCGTCCTGGCATTGGTCTTAAAATGTATGGCCGTTCTGGTACAAGCCACGCCCTATCACAAACTGAATCCAGGTCTGGCCACAAAAATTGTCAGAAATGTCAAATGCCTTATATATCACAAAGGTAAAGACTGATCTCTATTCATTTTTTATATCTATTCCATTTCGGGATATTTCTCCAAAAAAGCCCTATGGGTATTTCGCCACAGTAAGAAAATCTACAAAATAAAATAGTTATTTCTTGTAAACACTGCTGCGTTAATCCAACGCAGACTAATTATTGTAATGTCATTTTAACAGAACGTGAGGGGTTTTTATAGACGTATCTGTTTTAAAAAAAAATAGTGTTCTTTAATAGTTGCATATAGATATTTTAAATAGTTTTTTCTTTGTTCTTTGTGTTTTTTTTGCTTTCGACAACGAGAAGATACATATATACTTAATATACAGGGTGGCGCACCTCATTCGCCTCGGTTGATTATACGAAAACGGAAAGATGTAGAAACAAAATATTTTATGCGTATATGTGGGAATTATTATTATTATTTTAAAATGTACAGGGTGTATCAGAACTAAGATCCATACCAAAGTTATATTTTTTCATATGGAACATACGGTATTTTCCATAGACTTAAAATAAAATATAGACTGAGCATCTCATTCATAAATAGCTCGAACATGCGGTCAGACACTGTCTTGTTAGTCTTAGAGTCCAAAAAGGATAAAAATAATAAAATACACGTTATAGAAGAAATTTTATAATCGAAATTACGTAATTTTTGAAATTAATAACAAATTATTAATTTTAGTCAAACATTTACAACCCCTAATATTAATCAGAACAGGATCTATTCCACAGATATAATAGAATCGGCGACAGGGAGAGAAAAAAAAATATGATTGTTGTAATTTTTTTTCTGGGTAAGTGATGTCTTATTATGTAAAATAGAGAAAACATAAATCTGTTCCATTAAAGCAAGGAAGGTGATAGGAAGGGGATAAAATGAAAACTACATTTATTTAACTCGGTACTGTCTTTATTATACCGGGTGCGTCCCAAAAGTGGCTCAACCCCATAATTTTTTTATATTTTCAAATAAAAAAACAAGATTTAGTATGTTAGTATATGACATAAATTAGGATTGATTGACGCATTCAATTGTTTTTGGTCACTTTCTGTTTCACCGGAAATGACTATAACTTTTAATTTTTAAACGGCACCCTCGGTATATTTCTACTTTATTTGATAGAAAATGACACTCTGAATAGAATGACATATCATATGTCAACTTTTGACACTTTCGCATATGGTTTAATTGTAATTGTAACACGTGGTTCATAACGACAATTTGACTCGAAATACCAAGTGTGTGGTATCAATATATTCATAAAAAAATGCTTTTTCCAAATATGCTAACGAGTCACCCTTGTTCCATTTGAAAAAATTGACATATGTATGATTAAAAATACGATTTGTACATCTTTTAACCGGCCTAGACAAGACACGAAACCCATTAGACGATCAAAACTATTTTTCCAAGGCTCCTTGATTAAACCTTAGTGTTTTTAACAACACCATGGCACCCTGGATTGAAATTTAAAATACGATTTGTTTTTAAGCGACAATGTCAAAAGTTGACATATGATATGCCATTCTATTCAGAGTATCATTTTTTATCGAATAAAGTAGCAATATACCGAAGGTGCCTTTAAAAATCAAAAGATGTAATCATTTCCGTGAAACAGGAAGATACCAAAAACAATTGAATACGTCAATAAATCCTAATTTATGTCATATACCTACTAACATACAAATCTGTTTTTTTTATCTGAAAAAATAAAAAAGTTATAGGGGCGAGCCACTTTTGAGACGACCCGGTATATTAAAAAATATTGCTTCATAATGTAATATCATTTTAAAATTCTTGTATGTTATTTTAGATTCTCAAGATAATTTTAGAATAAACCGGAATATATTTTTAATAAAAGCATTATTAATTATTAACAGGGTTATAATTATGATTTTGTTACAATGTAAGTAAGTAAATAATGTAATGTAAGAGAAAAAATTCAGATTTTACATTTTACTAAAATATTATCTAAATAAGCGCCTTTCTACAACAACGCCACTTACTCCTAATGGGTATATTGAGAGTTGCCTACCGGTCGAAAGTTGTTTCAAGACTTAAATGGATTATTTAAGTCAAATTTCTTGCAAATTTGGCACTGACGAACCATATTTTATAGTTCTTGAACAGAAAAAGTCAATAAAATAAACAATTAAAGACTACAAGCTAAGAAAATGCGTTAATACAGCCGGGGATATAGCGGCAACAAAGCTTTACCGCACACGTGCGACGCGTACTACAAGGTAATAAATGAATGAATAGGCTCCCTCGCTTCTAATCGGTGTTGTCATATTGTAAAGAACTTATCCTTTTTAAACAGTATCCGACTTATATTTAGTAGTATAAGGACTATTTGAATTTTCTTTTGTTTGAGTTTAAAGTTAAAATACGTTAGACAGTAAATTTTATATACGTATATTGTACATATATATTATGTAATACATACGTTTTTTTAGGTTTTTTTTTCATATTTTTGATTCTGTTGCCTACCCTACTGTAAATGGTACTGCACGCCACTGCTATTATGGGTATATGTGGGAAGGCAATATGCATAATTCAAAATTATTTTGAAATGTACAGGGTGTGTCAGAACCAAGATCCATACCAAAGTTATATTTTTTCATATGGAACACACACACACACATGGTACTTTATTTCATTTTTGGATTCTTAGACATAAAATAAGGCATTTATTATAATGGTTTAATATGTTTAAAAGCCTTGGTTTTTGAGATATTTAAAGATTGTGCTGACTTTCAAGCCAGAGAAATAAACTTTACTAAAATTTTTGTTGCTTTCTTAAATGTATACAGGGGTATCAAAAATTGCTGGTCTATTTTATATATTTATTTTACATAAAAACTTCATTATTTCAAATGCCTCACTATGTATTTTTTTTAAATAAGGCGAAGCAGATTTAAATGCTCTTTCAAACTCTATTAGGGTTTCCTATACCTATCTGGCTGAGATTTTGAATAAAAAGCGATTTTTCAATAAAACTGTAATCAAGATGGCTGGTGTCACCACGGCAATTTTCTAGTGACACTTAGTAGCTATTTTCAAAATCGACATTAGTTTATGGACTTTATTTAAATTTATAACAGTTTATTTTTATTTAATTTACCTACAATAAGGTTAATAAGTAAGTATTTATTATTTTATCAAGAAAAATGAAGCAGTATCTGCTGGCGGAAGTAATGGATAGGTTACTAGTGATTTTATTTTGTGAAAATAATTGCTTATTGGCTTGAAGGGTTTATGCTCAAAGATATCCAAATCGGAATTTTCTTGACAAGCGTTCCTTTGAAAAACTACTTCTCCTATTTCACAGAGCTGATGAGTGTGGTATATGAAAAACCTATTGGGCAGGAACCTGTCGTTGGAAGTGAAGAAAATTAATTTGCCTTAATTGGTTCTTTTATAGAAAATCCAATATATCTACAAGTCATCGTAATATAAATCAAAGAACTACTTCTTTATTTTTCTTGATAAAATTATTAATACTTACTTATTAAACTATTAAACAAAATTAAATAAAGTCCATAAACTAATGTCGATTTTGAAAATAACTACAACTGTCAGTAGCAAATTATTGAAAAGCCAGATAGGTATAGGAAACCCTAGTATAGTTTGAAAGAACATTTAAATCTGCTTCGACTTATTTAAAAAATACATAGTGTTGTATTTGAAATAACGAAGTTTCTATGTAAACTAAATATTTAAAATGGACCAACAATTTTTGACACCTCTGTATACAATTAAGAAAGTAATAAGATATTTTAGTAAAGTTTATTTCTCTGGCTTCAAAGTCAGCTCAAGAATTAAATTTGAAAAGTAATGTACAGGGTGTTGACAAACTTTTTTATTATAGCATATGCATATTTAAATATCTCAAAAACCAAAACATTTAAACATATTAAACCCTTAAAATAAATGCCTTATTTTATTCCTAAAAATCCAAAAATGATATAAAATACCGAGTGTTCCATAAGCAAAATATAACTTTGGTATGGATCTTAGTTCTGACGCACCCTGTACATTTCAAAATAATTTTAAATTATGCACATTGCCTCTGTACATATACCCATAAAAAATTCAGTTTCTACATCTTTCCGTTTTCGTATAATCAACCGAGGCGAATGAGGTGCGCCACCCTGTATACTTCCCGAAAGTAAAGATTTTTTTGTCCGTTAGGAAAATTTGTTATTACTAAACCACTGCTGGCAATTAGTCTCCGTTGGATTAACGCAGCAGTGTTTACAAAAAATAACCATTTTATTTTGTAGATTTTCTTACAGTGGGGAAATACCCATAGGGACTTTTGGAGAGACGAATCTGAATAAGTAGAATTCTGAATATGTTATTACAGATGCATCTGTCCAAGTCACTGCCCTGATAGTGATGGGCTGCATCTTGGCTTTTGAGCCAGTTTTTCCGGAAATCCAGCAGGCCATGATTAAGTTGGAAAAGGAAAATACTAGCGAGAAAGCAGTCGATAAGGCAAGTTCTAGCAAAAGTGTGTTGGACGGAGATGAAGATTTCGATTATGCCCAGTTTTCTTCTGACGATGACGAGGAGATTGAAATTGAAGAAACCCAAGTGCCTTGGTTACTGCAAAGATGTTTGACAAATCTCGGTGTTTTACAGGCTGAGCAATCAAATAAACAGGTAAGTTCAGGTAAAGTCTGAACAAAAAAATAAAAATTTAAACTTAGAAAAGTTTTAAAACATTTGTTAATACAATCGTCATAAGTACGTGGGTCTAGAATCTTCGAACTCACATTAAATCCATTTGATCACGTGATGCGAGATAACCAAAAAGTACAAAAATAGGCGACACGGGAATATATCAATATCGCTCCTAACCGTTCTAGCGATTTTTATACTAAGGGCTGGCAAAGGTTAGTCTTGGGCAGTGGCGGCTTAACCATGAGGTCAAATGGTCAATGCCCCTCCAAAAAAATCAGGAGAAAATTAGAAAAACTTATTTAAATGATACTTAATTAAAAATAAGCGGTTTGCGATCGTGATTTTACTTTACTTAATAGAGAAAGGCGTACCGGAGAAATGTAGCAACGCCGCAACAGCACACCGTCGTATTTCTCTCACTCTGACTTAATAATGCGATTTACTTCCACACATGTCAATACCGACCCAAAAATAAGAGTTGCCGGCACGGTATATGAATTTAGCGGGTATTCAACTTCGAGAGTTGGCAACCCTGATCATAGATGCTTTGTTGTTTGATCTACTGTAACATATCATAGTATAAGGAAACTAGTAGCTTTACTCCTTGTCAAATCCTTGTCGTCCCGTGACCACTGACATAGCTGTATAGTCGTGGTCTATAACTAGGCAAAGTATAGTCGTGGCACTCGCCATAGTTTCACAGAGATGTATTTAGGAAAATATGAGTTCACAATAAAATAAAATAAAAACAAATATTGATCATCGAGTAAAAATTTGCTTGAAAACAGAATATTTTCACATTTCGTGTAAGTAACAATTCTTCTGTATCTGAAAATCTTCGGATGGGAAGAAATGCGGAAAAAATATATAATGACATATTTTTTATATTATCTATTTCGAAGATTTTCTACAACTTTTTTTAAAATTTAAAACAAGTTTAATTTTAACAGTTAATGTGTTTGTTTTATAGTAATATATTGGTTAGGTGATTTTCATTGGATAACTAATACATTGAACAATACATTGTACTAAATAATAAAATAACATATTTAAACTTCAATAATAGCTAATAAACATTACAGAAATTTCAAAAGAGAAAAGAAGCAAGAACAATGAGAAATAGCATCACTACTTTCTCACGAAATAAAAGAATATTTTTTTAGTTATTGTTACCGAGTCCCGAAGGTACCGAAAGAACCGGGAATTAATAATTTCGAGTCCCGGTTCTTTGATACCTCAAAAGAACCGAGAATTTCCGGTTCTGAACCCTAATTACCATATTATCAAGAAATTGTTTTTTAACTAAAAACTAAAAAAAAATCCAGATTTTTTTTAAAATTGCGCAGAAAAATCCTCATATTTTTGGGGCCAAAATATGCTACCCCTAAAAATATTTGCACTTATTTAAGGCTCACCGTGTATAGAGCGATTCACGTTTATGGTACGTTATAGTGTTTTCGGAACCGGTAATTTCGGTACCATGCCTCTAAGGAACCGGGATTTCCAGTTTTTTTCGGTACTTTCGGTGCTAGCAAATTTTTGTTCAATGATGGTGCAGTTCGTTAAACAGCAAGCAAGGGATGGTTGTCAAAAGCAAAATCGATAAAAAATTGAGGTTTAAATGAAAATAATATCAAATTATTAAGTAGTAATCAATCATTAGAAAATTAACCTGAATACAAACATGATCACAAATGACTCTCAAAAAAAACTCAAATCACAATTTTTTGAATTATTACTACAACTAGCGATGGGAACTATCGAATGAATTAGACTATCGAATGGTTACTGAATGAATGATTTCAACTATCGAATGGTTTTATTCGAATAAAATCATTCATTCATTTGTATACTAAAGCATATGTGACAACCTCGCCGTGCGACTAAATGGTTATCGTTGAGCCACGACTATCGAATGCTTTTGGTAAATGAAATTTAGTATTCGTTTGATTTTTGTGTGCGTCAGTGCATTATTAGTTCTTCCAAATTTTTATAACTTCGCCGTATAAATACTGTGCTATTCTTGCGTTTATTAAAATATTTAAAATACTAAAATAGTATTTTTTTTTTAATTTTATTTATTGACGATTGTGTGCATGTGCAGGTGGTCAAAATTTTTCCGAAAATTTGTGTGGTTTTCCGTAGTCCGATCTTTCAATTATTTAATTTTATATGGTATATGGTCTATTTTTTAATGGGAAATTTTGAGAAGAGAGATGAGATGAACTTATAATTAATTTTAAAAATACATATTTGTATTTTAGATGTTTTAATAATATGAATTAGTTGAACTTAATAATCATATTTAAGTAATGTGGTAATGGTTATCGAACTCAAACTATGGGGTGAGAAAATTAAAATGAAAGTTTTACACGTGCCAATTTAAAAAAAAGGTTAACAATGTTTGTATTTTGTTTATGCTAATTCTCTTACATGTAGTTTTTTGCGAAGAAATATTTCATTTATTTTTTAAAGTAAATGCCAGTAAAAGTAAATATAATTTTTAAATAGTAATATAAAGCACCTAATATAAATACTTTTGATTTCTAATTTTTTATTTATATTTTCCTTCCATTACATTGCATGCTTAGAAAATTAATAAATGTTTATATTTCATGATTTTAAAATTTGTTGTTAATATAACAAATTAGTTCTGTAATTATTATTCTTTAATAAACCAACGTTGCCAAAAAATTTAGAGAGTATATAATTTTTAAATATTTAAATAGGATCTAATATAAATAATTTTGACATCTAATTTGTTGTTTATATTTTGCTACTACTTAAAATAATGTTTATATTAAATGATTTTAAATTTTGTTGTTAATAGGTATAACAAATTATTACTGTTATTATTATTTATTAAACCAGTCTTTGCTTAAAAACATTAAAAATCATTTTCCTACATCCAAAATAACAAATATTATTGCAGTGTAACAACAGAATATTAATAAAAAAAATGCAGAATATATAGACATACTATCCCTAACTAACTAAAGCCAAACAATAATATTCTTTGCTAATATCAACTAATACCAAAATTATATGGCAACAGCGCCCTTCATTATGTATTTTCTGTGTAAATACTAGCACCTCAATAAAAAAAATAATGTGTCTTTATTTTTATCTGACTCCGCAAAAAATCAAAGATGCCGGCTTCTTTCATAGCACTGCCACCGACCGCTGTCGGGTTTCTCGGAAAGGAACCTATGTCGCCGGGCGACAACTAAAATTCAGTTAATATTTTATTATAATCGATCCTGACGAATAAATGAATTTCATAAATGAATGAATTTTATAAATGAATGGTTTTTGCTGCCGAATTACTAGAATACAATGTTTCAAGGCAGATGACGGATCTATTCGATAATTTTTATTCGAATAGTTTTCAACGAATGTTTTCTTACTAACTATCGAATTATTCGAATGAATTGCAACTATCGAATGTTTCGATAGTATTCATTCGATAGTTCCCACTACTAACTACAACCAATAGCAGCACACAGTAAGGCGCTCAATTTTTTTGTCAATACGTCTCTGTGTTGGGACGCAACGCTCGAACCTCGCAGGTCGACGGACGGAACTCAACTGAAACGCTCTGCAATCTGCCGATATTCGATAGATTGTAAAAACTGGCAGAAAATATTTGGGGAGTGCAACTACTCTTTTCCTTCTACTATGATAATACTTTTATATTTTGATGATGATAAAAAAATGTATCAAATAATCAATATTTCCAGGAAAAATTCCAGCAACGTATCGTACCAGCCCCCGTCAAACTTGAATCTCTCCAGATATTATCAGCCATGAGCCGAAACTACTTCGAAGCCCTGATGCTGCCTCACATCCACTTGATTACAAAAGGCCTGGAGCACTCTTTAGAAGACGACAAATACAAAGATTTGAATTTACACGCCGCAAAAGCCATAGATTGTATAGGCCAGGCTATGGGACGTTTCACCCAAAAGGACGCATCTTCACTGGCGTGTGTTAATTTCTGGCAGAGTCTTCTCTCGGGGCCTTTGGTATCGCTGATCCAGAACGAACAGTCGTTCCATTTGAGAGCAGTCGGGTGCGACTGCTTGGGAAGTATAGGTCCTGGTATTTTCCAACAACTATCCAGGGATAAGCAAATAGTTTGCGTTACTTTACTGTTTGCCTGTGCTAAGGATGAGGAGCCTGTAGTCAGGGTAAGATATTTTTCTAAGATATTCAATATGATCGAAAAAAAACGGTGTCAACGATGGCTATAAAATGAAGATCGCTGTCGTTTTATATGTAAAATATTTGAATAAAAAGATTTAGGAAGAAGCATAGAGACCAAAAATGACCGACTTAAATTCTGATTTTGTCGGTGTCGTCAAAGAGTAGATAAGACAAGAGACGACAGTTCGCGCGGTACCTTTCATGTTTAAGGTACCTTTCATGTTTACCATGTTGTACCTTTCATGGTGGGGAGAGTGACCTCGTCTCGCTTGTCCCTTTAAATTTTCGTAACTTTTTCGCGGGAAATTTTAAATAGACTATTATTAAAACTTGCCTGTATAGCTTATAAATAGTTACTGTATGGGTAAAGAAATAAATAGAAACGAAAAAAAAATGAGTTTTCTAAATATTATATAAAATAAATTATAATTAGAAACATATTTGTCGGGGAATAAAGATAATAAAAGCAATATTTTGTATATCGTTGGTAAACAAGATAAAGTGACCAAGTCGATTTGTAAGAAGTGTTTTATTTACGTGTATTTTTTTTTACATATGGACTTGAACAAGTGTAATATTACAATGAACACACAATAGATCTATAAGGTCGCGGTGATTAACTCCCCTCCATTCTACAATATCACAATATGGAGTTTATGTACAAAAAAATAGAGTTGCTCAATTTTTTTTGTAAAAATATATTACAAGCTTCTAACCATGTCTTCGATCTATGGATTACATTTAGTTTAATAGCATAATTATATAGTATATTTCTATAAAAATACTTTTCAGGATCCTTTGGAAACGAGTGAAATATTATGTTTGTCGAAGAATAAGACCTATTTTTTGCAGTCTTTATAAGCACACACATTGCCACCATCTCGTCTTTTCCTGCTACTCGTGTCCTGTTCAGTATTCATATTTAACAATAATTACAAATTAGTACGCAACAAAAACGATACTAAAAATTAAACCTTAAAAACTCTCAAAACGATAATATATCGAAAAACTCTGAAACACACACTTTAAAAAAGGCAAAAATGCAAGAAAACAACTAATCAGATTTGTTTATGTTTAAGCCTGATTAGCACAGCTGATTAGCGTCCTAAAATCATAGGTTAGAATAAATAAAATACGCCGTTATCAGATTTTATCGTTTATCTTTGAAATCGATCAACTTAGTCATTCTGTTTGTTTGATATTATCAGTACATTACGAAAAAAGAACCTAAACCAACCTAAACTTAAAATTTACATTTCCGTATTAACATACGTTACTTATATTCTTCTTATATTATTAATTTATTTTCAGAAAATCTTGTTTATTTTTCAAAGAAATATACTTGGCAACAGAGAAAATGGGACTTGATGGGACCTTTAAATTTTAATATATCTGCGTCTCTCTCGCGAAATTCGACTTCTTTGTTCACTGTCGTCTCTTGTCTTATCTACTCTTTGGTGTCGTTCTAATTTTAGTCAAAACGTGTAAAAATATGATGTCTGATCTCAATAATTTGTTGTTTTATTTTATGTTGTCAATAAATGTTGGTAGTTATTAAAATTGTTATAAAAATATATCATTTTAATAAAAATAGATAAGTTATAATAATTATTTAGTAACACAAACATCCGATACGCTACTGAAGCAGGTAAGTCAAATTGACGTATCTAAATTCTTTGACGTCTAATCTTTGACAAGTAGTAAATAAAAGAAATACAAAAAACATCCCTCTTTAGAACTTCATCTGTCATGTTAAGAAATGAAAGCAAATAAAAAGCGCCTCTCGTGTTTGTTCGCATACTAAAAATTTCAATTAACGCGTGTATATATTTTGATTATATTTTTAAAATTTACATTTTTTAACTGTAAAGTAATATATTACATTTAAATGGAATATATTACATAACAATTAGGTATGTCATTTACACGTTTGTTTTCTAACACTTTTTAAATAAAACAAATTATAAAATTTCAATATACAGGTTCCGGCAATAGTGCGTCGGGCATCTGTAGCTCCTAGAATAAAAAACTTAGGCTTTGGAAAACAATGGAAATTGCATTAAAATTAAAAAAGTTAAGCGCGACCCCTTGTGTCAAAATTAGGTGATTAAATTTTCGCAATTTTTACATCATTTGATGACCGGTGGCGCCTCTAGTGTTTGTTCGCACGATTAGTCTTTTACTTCCGTTTATGGCCATTAAAGAAAAAGTTCTAAAGGGGGATGTTTTGTGAAGCAATACTGCAAGAAAAAATAAAATACACGGTGTCCCAGAAATAAGTGCAAGTATTTTAAGTGGTGGTAGATCTCGATAAAAGAAACATATTTTCTCTTTATCGTTTTTCAAATAAGTCCAAAATAACGGAGTTATTTTACTTTAAAAATTTCCAAAAAAAATGATTTTTTTAAATTTTGAGAACCACTGGATCTTTTCTGCATTTTCTTTCTTGTAAATTTAATCTAATACCGATATTATCAAGAAATTATATTTTATAATTAAAAACTAAAAAAATTTCCAAAAAATTTCCTTTTTTCAAGAAATTCCGAATTTTAAGAATTTTTTTTTCGCGAAAAAAACCTAATTGGCGTGTTTCTGGGACACAGTTTAAAACGAATTTTTATTTGTTACAAATTTAAATATTAAAAATTTGGTAATAGTTTCGACGCCTTTTATGACGCGCACGTCAACTTTAAAAAGAAAATAAATGCTTTATTTAGGGCGCCGCAGTTCGAGCTTTAGCATTAAGCGTCATGTACCCTACCTTACGAGAGGATCCAGGTTTTGTAGAAGACACCGCAGAATCCATCTTATACTCCTTAAGAGACTTAAGTAACATAACCCTACGTGTAAAGGCTGCGTGGTCTCTGGGAAACTTCAGTGACGCTTTGGTTCTAAATGTTCAAACCCCGGACTCTTACGAGCATAGACTTCCTGACAAGGTGTTGTATAGTTTATTTGAAGAAGGCATAAAATGTTCCAAGGACGGTGATAAAATGAAGATGAATATAGTGAGGGCTTTGGGCAATTTTATGCTGCTCGTGGACGAACGCTTGCTGGAGCAGACTCGCTTCAAAACGGTTTGTCAAGAGGTTTTCGGTGTGTTGGTCAACGCCAGTACTACCAGTGGAAATATGAAGGTTTGTATACTTATTATACCGGATGCGTTTCAAAAGTGGTTCACCCCTATAACTTTTTTATTTTTTTTAGATAAAAAATCGAGATTTGGTAAATTAGGAGTGATTAATGTATTCAATTGTTTTTGGTCACTTCCTATTTCACCGGAAATGACTACAACTTTTGATTTTTAAATTGTACCCTCGGTATGTTTTCACTTTATTCGGTAGAAAATGACACTCTGAATAGAATGACATATCATATGTATGTCAACTTTTGACACTTTCGCTTAATAAAATCGTATTTTAAATTTCAATCTAGAGACTAATTTTTAATCAAGGAGTCTTGGAAAAATAGGTTTGATCGTATAACGTTCTTCGTGTCTTGTCCTGGCCAATTAAAAGATGCCCAAATCGTATTTTTAATCATATCTCAATTTTTTAAATGGAACAAGGGTGGTTCATTAGCATATTTGGAAAAAGCTTTTTTTGCGAATAATTTGGTACCACACAATTGATATTTTGAGTGTCAAATTTTCGTTATTAACCGCATATTACAATTCCAAATAACCCAAGCAGCATTTGGACGTCGGGACAACGTTGTGTCACGCGACCAAACGTCGGGGCGCAACGTCGGCACAACCTCGTGCCAACCCTAGTCTGCACTAGTTTGGAGAATAATTTTTGGGTCGAAACGACGTTGGATACCGACGTTGGCTAGAAGCCTAATTTAGTACAAACTGCAACGTTGTTTAAAATCCTAATTCACAGAAATACCAAACTAATATGGCGTCTAAGTCGCGTTTTATCCTAAATTGGGATAATTATAGTAAAAATATTATTTTTATGATTTAGTTAGTTTATATGTCAGATGGCAGTGAAGGAAAACAAAAGTATTTAAGTGTGGAGGATGTTTGAAGATCATAATTATTGAAACACTTTAACCGACTCTGTAACTCGTTACCCAAGGCAAAAAAGTTAAACGCAAACAACTTTATTGATAAATGTATTGTTTCTACTTTGAAAAATACTAATGGGCCTTAAAATTAAAGAAGTTTTAAAAATTTTCTTGAATTTTTTTTTTAGTAAAATGAGAATAATTTATTCGCAGTCGAAAAAATAGTTTCCGCGTGATTTTTAGGGTCAAATATTTCAAGTTAATGTATTCAAAAAGCAGGAATTGCTATTTTAAGAACGAAACATTTTCTTATTTTACAACATGGCGGCTTTCACTTTGTTGTTTTGGGAGATTAAGATGGAGTAGTTCGAGTAGTCGCATACTGGACTAATAAAGTCGCAGTTCGGCCTTAACAGGTAATATACTAGTTGCAAGATTGCCTAATTTAGTCATCCTAGAGTCTAGCTTGTGCCGCCCTCTATAATCTAAATAAACGAGGGAGTGGATAAACTATCGGTAATATATGTCGATGTATATTTAAGTTTAGTTTTATATGTACCTTTCTTATGTCCCATTCTAATTAAGTTTTTTTTATAAAAACAAAAACAGCACTGAACTGTCTGACTGAACAGAACAATGAAGTGAAAATTTAAGATTTAAGGTTATGGTTCAATACAGTTGCAAAAACGTAGTGACTCGACGTCCTACCAACGTAAGAATAAGGAAATCTAAACAACATTGGAATTAGTAAAACAGACGGCGTTTGCATAACGTTGGAATAGGTCCTGAAACTGACGTCGGAAAACTCTATATTGTCCAACGTTGTAACTACGTTGTCCGAATCACCTAAAGATCACTTAAGCAAAAAAGGTTACAAGATAACGTTTATTCGACGTCGCAGAAGCTTCTACTTTGCTGTAGTACTAGTCCAACGTCGGCACAACGTTATAAAAACGTTTAAATTTATTTTAATACCCAAGGTAGCGAGCTAACTATTTTTTGTAACTAATCCAACGTTGTGTTTAGTAAACATGTGGTCGCACGTCGTAAAAATGCTACTTGGAAAACCATATGCGTCATTCTATTCAGAGTGTCATTTTCTATCAAATAAAGTAAAAAAATACCGAGGGTATCATTTAAAAAATCATAAGTTGTAGTCATTCGCGGTGAAACAGGAAGCGACCAAAAACAATTATTGAATACGTCAATCAATCCTAATTTATCCATTTTTTTTTACCAAATCTCGTATTTTTATCTGAAAAAATAAAAAGTTATAGGGGCCAGCCACTTTTGAGACACACTCGGTATGCAGCGCAGATTTCTGCAATTTTCTGAAATCACATATGGCCAAAATTATTGCATATATCGTTTAAAAATATACGGAAAGGAATTTAAAGAGTCTTTTTTTATACATAGCATTGATAGTCTGTAATAATCATTTTTTTGTTAAAATGGATATGGTAAACAATGTTTATCGTTCAGACGCAATATTATTACAAATTCTTGCACATTTCGATTTGCGGTCTCTTGGGTTTCGGAAGAAATTTGACAATTGTTTTGGCCTTAAAATGCCTATTTCACAGGTTAATAGAGTCAGAATAGTAGGCAAGAATAGTAGGAGTTAGAGTATAGTAGGCAAGAATAGTTGAGTTAGTCAAATTGTAGGAGTTAACCAAAGCGATGTTTCGCGAATATTAAAAAAAATCAGGGAGACAAACGAGGTCACAGACCGGCCTGGAAGAGGTAGAAAGAGAGTTACTACTGCTGTGCAAGACCGTTAAATATCCCTAATTGCACGACGCAATCCCCTGCTTTCTAGTACTGTTATTAAAAATGAGTTAGCTCGCCTTGAAGGAGTAAATGTTTCAAGAAAGACTATAGCAAGAACACCCCTTGACAGAGGATTACATTTAAGGAGGCCTCTACGTGTTCCGAAGCTTAATTTACAGCACAAAATTACGCGACTACAATGGGCTGGGTAGATGAGAGCAAATGGACCTAATTGGAATTTCGTCATGTTTAGTGATGAAACAAAAATAGGCCTAGTGTCAGACTCGCGACGAACTTTGGTCTGGAGAGCATCTGGAAGACGAGCACGCTTGAATGCAGCTCAACCCCGTGTCCCGTTTTAAGGGGCAAGCATTATATTTTTGTTGAATTTCACTCATTATGAAATAAAATTATAATAACAGCCTAGTTGCACTTAGATTTTTAATTTTATATTAGTTAGTCGTGTAGTAAGCCAATATGTCCAAAAAATCGTTATATGCAATAATTTTGGCCATGTGTGTATGTCAGAATTATTTTTTTGTTATTGGACTTGCTGAATAAATTTCGCTTCAACTTTTTTCAATAACTCAATAATATAAATGTTCCTCTTTGCTACAAACCTCTTGTATATTAATATTTTATGAATATATGAGTATATTCTAAGACGGCAATGCCTACTTATTAACATTTGATATATTTACCAGAACTGGATAAAAAAAATCAATCACATGATACCATAAATAATTATTATCATTAAACGGGTACTAAAGTCTGTGTAACCAATCAGGAAAAATTTCGACATACGACATAAAAAAAAAATTACAGAAAATACAATTTATCTGTGAATTAAAATGACAGAAAAGAATTATCACTATCTTGCATGCTCTCAGTGGACAGACTTTACTCATGCTTTGTCTTTTATAATTGTAGGTGAGATGGAATGCCTGCTATGGCCTACGAAAGGCCTTAAAAAATCCCTCTATATGTGAAAACTTAGACACTAATTTATGGCAATCGTCCGTATTTAATGCACTCATGGATCTGGTTGTATTAAAAAATTTTAAAGTACGAGATTGTCCTTAGTTTTTTCAGTATTGTTTTTAGTGAAAATAATTCGATTTTAGGTACGAATAAATGCCGCATTAGCTATAACATCCCCATCAAAGAGAACACACTATGGTTCGTATTTTATACCAATATGGACAGCCCTTCTGAAGGCTTTAGAAAACTCACAACATCTGGAAAATTTCACTGAATATAAACACAGAGATAACCTGGTTGAACAAGTAGGTCATTTGTCTCATTCAATTAAAAATACATATTATTTATTTTATGACTTTTTTTGTAGTTATGCCTTTCTCTAGGGCGTTTAACAACATTACTAACTAAAGACGATCTAATTGCCTTGGAATCGACATTAAATTTGTACTTTGACTGCCTTAAGACGCACATGCACAAAGTTTTGGAGAGGATGGTTCCAGAAAAGTCGACGGATCTATCGTCTGCTGCTTGTTATTTGGATACACTTGGATCGACTTGTAATGGAAAGAATGATATAATCCTTGTTGAGAGACTTAAGAGTGTATTTTCTTACTCTGTGATATAACAAATAATTTATTTTTATAAATTGGAACTTTTTACCTATATGTTTTAAATTTTTAAATTGTTGCATTTCTTTTAGAATAATAAAATAATTCAGTATATTAATATATTATCGTTTTTTTATTAATAAGAAAATCCTAATTTCATACCATATAACAATTTATCTGGTAAATAGTTTATATGTACCAACAGCATCAATTTTACCCACAAAAATTTATCAATTGAGTGTAATTTCAAAGGTCACTGTAATCATGTGTTTTTCTAACGCATGGTAGCTATGCAAATTAACGTAGAGTCTGTTACATCGCCGACCTGGACATAAGAAATCCTATGGAAATTTTAAAAACGATGAATAAGTTTTCCCCATTTTATTTTACAGAAAAATTTATTTGAAACGTTTTAAAGAACTCCTTAAAATGAAGCGAATTGTTCAATTTGAATGATTTATACGAATTCGTTCTTGATAACAAACATGCCACCTTCAAATTCGCAATTTATTGATTATATGGAAAGCACTGTTCGTTAAAATGTTGTATCCTATGTTATAGGGCTTGTTTCTCTCTACAATTTCCTGTCTCACAATGTACCGTTTGTGTCCAGGAAGGGTTCATATTTTCATAGTTGTCGATTTTCGAAAGAAATCGGTACATTTATTTTATTTCGTATATTTTTCATTTTATTGATTTTATGGAAAGCACTGTTCATTAAAATGTTGTATCCTATGTTATAGGGCTTGTTTCTCTCTACAATTTCCTGTCTCACAATGTACCGTTTGTGTCCAGGAAGGGTTCATAGTTTCATAGATGTCGATTTTCGAAAGAAATCGGTACATTTATTTTATTTTGTATATTTTTCATTTTATTGATTTTATGGAAAGCACTGTTCATTAAAATGTTGTATCCTATGTTATAGGGCTTATTTCTCTCTACAATTTCCTGTCTCACAATGTACCGCTTGTGTCCAGGAAGGGTTCATATTTTCATAGATGTCGATTTTCGAAAGAAATCGGTACATTTATTTTATTTCGTATATTTTTCAGTTTATTGATTTTATGGAAAGCACTGTTCATTAAAATGTTGTATCCTATGTTATAGGGCTTGTTTCTTTCTACAATTTCCTGTCTCACAATGTACCGTTTGTGTCCAGGAAGGGTTCATATTTTCATAGATGTCGATTTTCGAAAGAAATCGGTACATTTATTTTATTTTGTATATTTTTCATTTTATTGATTTTATGGAAAGCACTGTTCATTAAAATGTTGTATCCTATGTTATAGGGCTTGTTTCTTTCTACAATTTCCTGTCTCACAATGTACCGTTTGTGTCCAGGAAGGGTTCATATTTTCATAGTTGTCGATTTTCGAAAGAAATCAGTACATTTATTTTATTTCGTATATTTTTCAGTTTATTGATTTTATGGAAAGCACTGTTCATTAAAATGTTGTATCCTATGTTATAGGGCTTGTTTCTCTCTAAAATTTCCTGTCTCACAATGTACCGTTTGTGTCCAGGAAGGGTTCATATTTTCATAGATGTCGATTTTCGAAAGAAATCGGTACATTTATTTTATTTCGTATATTTTTCATTTTATTGATTTTATGGAAAGTACTGTTCATTAAAATGTTGTATCCTATGTTATAGGGCTTGTTTCTCTCTACAATTTCCTGTCTCACAATGTACCGTTTGTGCCCAGGAAGGGTTCATATTTTCATAGTTGTCGATTTTCGAAAGAAATCAGTACATTTATTTTATTTCGTATATTTTTCATTTTATTGATTTTATGGAAAGCACTGTTCATTAAAATGTTGTATCCTGTGTTATAGGGCTTGTTTCTCACTACAATTTCCTGTCTCACAATGTACAGTTTGTGTCGGGGAAGGGATCATAGTTTCATAGTTGTCGATTTTCGAAAGAAATCAGTACATGTATATTATTTCGTATATTTTTCATTTTATTGATTTTATGGAAAGCACTGTTCATTCACTCAATGTCAAATTGAGTTTGTTGTTGCCAAAAATAATTTTAATAGAATTTTTTTTGTTTTAATTTCATATTGCTAAATATAATTTGTAAATAGTTTAGTGGTATTATGAAGTAAAAAGTCTACAGGCTGTAAAGGATTTATTTTCTGTACATTTTTCAAATATGCCAGACCAGTTATTGAAGACTATAAATGTAAAAGAATTCCACCACAAACAGTTATTAAAGACTGTAAATATAAAAAGAAGATTAATATTGATGAGGATCGTGCAGAAATAATAAATGAAAATGAATTAAATATCCTGTTACAGGTGAAATATAAAAACCAAATAAATACCAGAATACTTGGAGAAATAGTCGAAAAACATCGTACCACTGTTTGGCGAATTTGAAGGAGTAAAATAATCATTTAAATATTCCGAACACCAAGAATTATTGGACGGTGTTGAAGGAAGTAGAGCAAATTTCATCTATTTTTTTAATTATTAACAAGTACTTAATTTTGTTAATAATTGTTTACTGTTTAATAAATAAATTTTATTTTGAAGCAGTGTGTTCTACGAAATATATTTGATTTTAAGATTTCTCGTATATTTACAGTGTACTCTTTGTAACTTTTCATAGATAATATAACTGAGAATATTTCTGACAGATGTCTGTAGAAGAAAATCATAAGACATTTGTCATATTGTGACATCATTTGTGATTGTTATGTTTGTTTGATCAGGACCGCATTATTTTAAATTTTCGTCTAATTTAGTATTTTTGTATCTCTCATAACTCAACAACGAATTCGTGTAAACCATTCAAAATGAACAATTCCCTTCATTTTAAGGAGTTCTTTCTTTGAAACTTTCAAATCCATTTTTAAAATTTACATGGGAGTTCCTATGTCCAGATCGGGCGGTATATTTATTTCTATTTATTATTGAATAATTTAAATAATAAAACCAAACAGTCTTTTTTTTTATAAATATATTTGAAATTCAATACTCATCAAATATCAACTTCTATATGTTCACAATAACTGCGAATTTAAAACAAAAATATCAATAAATTAAGAAAATAACATATTTTTACAAAAACATCACGGTAAAGCTTCTCTCACAGTGGTTGCGGATATGCGCGGAACCGTCCAAATTCGTAATCTTGCGTATACATGCGTTCAGATCGCACAGTGAGTGCGCTAAAACACTGCGACCAGATGTTGCAAATAGTTAAAATGTCTCTTTGGAATTTATATTTTGTAGAGTATACCTTCTTACGACGGCGAATCATTTGCAAAAGAAGAAGGAAGCCATATGTGAATGAGATACTAAAAAAGAAATGAATTTGATGAATTTCAACGTCTTGGGGAAAACACTTCGTTCCAGAAGGGGCCTGTGTAAATTGCGATAGTGATAATTCGGTTCTCGCTGATCCCATAAATATTTCCACTTACGTACTAAATCAATTAGCTGTTCCTTATCCATTTTTATTTTCAAGAGGAAAACACTTGAAGAAAGTTGCGAACAACGCAAATATCCAAACCAGACAATTGCATGTTGACGCTTCCACTGTGAGGCCAGCCTAAAGGTATCTTTACAATAATATATAAACTATTAAACATTAACTCGCTCCCACGCTGTCCACTGGGACAGACACCTGAGTAACAGGCCCGCAACTCTCTTGTCTCACTCTTTTTCTCGATAAAACAGGACTCTTGCCTTTGCTTTCTGTACCCGAATCATTATCAGAACTGCAAATTAATATTCATCAATCAATAAATAATTATAAAAATGAGTGTTGATAAACATGTTACAAACTTATTGAAAAAAATATCATGAAATAACCAAACAAGGCTCATCAATGCTATTCATAGGCTCAGAACCCTTCTGCAGCATTCACCAAAATTCACGGTAGACCTTGAAAATGATAGGACTGGAGAATGTTACCTAAGGATCAGAAGAGGACCATAAAAGGTCGCAGTGGCACAGGCCGATAGCGTTGATTGAGAGAATTGGCAAGATACGCAACCTAATAGGCGAATTCGTGAAAAGGCTGATTTGATTTCCCCTTACGTCTCAAGTGCTGTGTCGTAGAGCCACCATTCGTTCTGTGGCCAACGCATAAAACACTCATTTTCTCTAATTCTGCAAGCGAAGGCATATCGAAGACGATATAGAACTGAAAGGGACAGTGTTGCCATAATAAAATGTGTAATATCTGTAATATGTTTCACGAAAATATCTTTGGATGAAAAACCCGCGTTTATGCATTGAAAATTTATTCGTGTTAAACAAAGAATAAACAACAAAAATAAAAATTCTTTTATAGGTACTGACTATTTCGTATCATCGAAAAAAGTCGTTTAGTTGGCTTGGAAATGACGACTATTGACATTTACTATAATATTTTACATATGAAATAACAGCGATCTTCATTTCCAAGCCAACTCTGACGCCGTTCTCTGTTTAATCATATAATATTACATTAAATTGTGTAATGATAGAAAATCCGTATTATTAACGTACTGTACCCAAAATCCGTAAATGTACGGATTAATCCGTATTTCTGGCAACACTGTCTTCGGCAACCACCCACTCTGTCGACTGAAAGCAGAACTAAAACTACAGTATTCTTTATCCGCTGCGCTGTAAACGACTATCAGCGCACAGCGGCGCAGAGCTACACTAAATCTAGGACACCTTTTGTGTCACGAAATCGCCCATAAGGTTGGGCATCTTATTTCTTCAATCAACGCCGACAGCCACCTCATAAATCTGAAATCTAGTCTAATCGTGACACAATGTCTTTCCATATTTATATACATTGCACAAAACTAATTATAACATATACAGGGTGGCGCACCTCATTCGCCTCGGTTGATTATACGAAAACGGAAAGATGTAGAAACAAAATATTTTATGGGTATATGTGGGGAGGCAATGTGCACAATTTAAAATTATTTTGAAATATACAGGGCGTCTCAGAACTAAGATCCATACCAAAGTCAAAGAGTAGATAAGACAAGAGACGACAGTTCGCGCGGTACCTTTCATGTTTGAGTGGTGGGGAGAGTGACCTCGTCTCGCTTGTCCCTTTAAATTTTCGTAATTTTTTCGCGGAAAATTTGAAATAGACTATTATTAAAACTTACCTGTATAGCTTATAAATAGTTATAGTACTGTATGGGTAAAGAAATAAATAGAAACGAAAAAAAATGAGTTTTCTAAATATTATATAAAATAAATTATAATTAGAAACATATTTGTCGGGGAATAAAGGTAATAAAAGCAATATTTTGAATATCGTTGGTAAACAAGATAAAGTGACAAAGTCAATTTGTAGGAAATGTTTTATTTAATTATTTACGTGTATTTTTTTTACATATGGACTTGAACAAGTGTAATATCACAATGTGGAGTTTTGTTGAAATATTTTTTTTTTAAATTATATTACAAGCTTCTAACCATGTCTTCGATCTTTGGATTACATTTAGTTTAATAACATTCATATTTTTAGTTTATATAGTATATTTCTATAAAAATACTTTTCAGGATCCTTTGGAAAAGAGTGAAATATTATGTTTGTCGAAGAATAAGATCTATTTTTGCAGTCTTTATAAGCACACACATTGCCACCATCTCGTCTTTTCCTGCTACTCGTGTCCTATTCAGTATTCATATTTAACAATAATTACAAATTATTACGCAACAAAAACGATACTAAAATTAAACCTTAAAAACTCTCAAAACGATAATATATCGAAAAACTCTGAAAACACACTTTAAAAAGGCAAAAATGCAAGAAAACAACTAATAAGATTTGTTTATATTTAAGCTTGATTAGCACAGCTGATTTCGCTGAAAATTCGCCGTTGTCAGATTTTCAGATTTTATCTGTTTATCTTTGAAATCGATCAATTTAGTTAGTCATTCTGTTTCTTTGATATCAGTACATTGCGAAAAAAGAAGCTAAACCAACCTAAACTAAAAATTTACAATTCCGTATTAACATACGTTACTTATTCCTTCTTATATTATTAATTTATTTTCAGAAAATCTTGTTTATTTTTCAAAGAAATATACTTGGCAACAGTGGGACTTGATGGGACCTTTAAATTTTAATATATCTGCGTCTCTCTCGCGAAATTCGACTTCTTTGTTCACTGTCGTCTCTTGTCTTATCTACTCTTTGCCAAAGTTATATTTTTTCTTATGGAACACCCGGTATTTTATTTCATTTTTGGATTCTTAGGCCCAAAAAAAGCATTTTTTATAAAGGTTAAATATGTTTAAAATCATTGCTTTTTGAGATATTTAAAGATATTTAAATATGCATACTACAAGAAAATTGATTACCAACACCCTGTATATTACTTTTCAGAATCAATTCTTGTGCTGAGTTTAAAGATAAAAAATAAACTTTACTGAAAAATGTTATTGTTGCCTTAAATTTATACAGGGGTACCAAAAATTAGTGATCTACTTTAAGGATTTATTTTACATAAAAACTTTGTTATTTCAAATGCAACACCCTGTATTTTTTTAAATAAATCGAAGCAGATTCAAATGCTCTTTCACACTATATTAGGGTTTCCTATACCTATCTATCTCAGATTTTGAATAAAAAGCGATTTTTAAATAAAATGTCAATCAAGATGCCTGGTATCGCCATGGCAATTTTCTAGTGACAGCTAGTAACTATTTTTAAAATCGACATTAGTGTATGGACATTATTATTTAAACAGTTTACTAAAATTTACCCACAATAGTTTAATAAGTAAGTATTCTTTATTTTACGAAGAACAATAAAGCCATATCTGTTGGTGGAACGAATGGATATGTTACTAGTGATTTTATTTTGTAAGAAAAAATATTTCTTGGCCTCAAGAGCAAGAGCTAATGCTCAAAGATATCCAAATACGAATCTTCCTGATAAGCGTTCCTTTGAAAAACTACTTACCCTAATTCCTATTTCTTAGAATTGGTAGTATAGTTTATAAAAAACCTATTAGGCAGAAACCTGTCGTTGGAAGTGAAGAAATTGAATTTGCCGTAATTGGCTCTTTTATAAAAAATTGATATATCTACAAGTTATCGTAAAATAAAACAAAGAACTACTTCTTCGTTTTTCTTGAAAAATCGCATATTAATAAATATTATTTATTAAAGTATTGTAGGTCAATTAAATAAAAGTAAACTGGTATAGATTTAAATAAAGTCTATAAACTAATGTCGATTTTGAAAATAGTTACTAATTGTCACTAGCAAATTGTCATCGCGACATCAGCTATCTTGATTGCCATTTTATTGAAAAATCGCTTTTTATTCAAAATCTGAGCTAGATAGGTATAGGAAACCCTAATATAGTTTGAAAGAGCATTTGAATCTGCTTCGATTTATTTAAAAAAATACAGGGTGTTGCATTTGAAATAACAAAGTTTTTATGTAAAATAAATCCTTACAATAGATCCCTAATTTTTGGTACCCCTGTATAAATTTAAGGAAGCAATAACATATTTCAGTAAAGTTTATTTCTTAATTCTCTCATTTTAAACATATTTAACCCTTATAATAAATGTCTTTTTTTGGGCCCAAGAATCCAAAAATGAATTAAAATACCGGGTGTTCCATAAGAAAAAATATAACTTTGGTATGGATCTTAGTTCTGAGACACCCTGTATATTTCAAAATAATTTTAAATTGTACACATTGACTCCCCACATATATCCATAAAATATTTTGTTTCTACATCTTTCCGTTTTCGTATAATCAACCCAGGCGAAGGAGGTGCGCCACCCTGTATAACAAAATGTTTAAAACATAAATGGAAAAAATAACCAAATATTCTCTTACCAACTGACGCTGCTCAATCTCGTTTTGCCACCACCGTCGCTCTCCGACGTACTTTTACTTTTCCGTCTCTGTCTACTGGGTTGATTGAGAAATAGACTAAGTTGGTGGTACCTGTGTTCCCAGTAAAGGTTCTGCCTTTGGGCTAAATCAGAGTGCCGGTTTATAAAGTCGTGATCTGGTGGCAGTGACAATTCCCAACCCTAAAAATATGTTTTTAAAATATTATAAGAAGGTATAAGATTATCACATCTGATAAAGTACCTTATTGTGCGTTCTTAACTTTGAAATACCAGCAAATATTTCTTTCACTTCTTCGCTAGGAATTTTTAGTAAAGATGAGACCTTTTTTCGCTCGACGTATTGATGTTTTGTAAATAAGTATAACTAAAAATAAAGTAGAATTAGTTGACAGTATAATTATTAAAATGAATTAAAATGTATTGACTTTTCATATACAGGGTGGCGCCTCTCATACGACACGGAGGCTACAAGAAGAACGACAGTTTGTATTGAATTGAAATTTTGGGAGGATAATATGTAGGGTAATTTAGAGCATATTTAACGTTTTTTAAAAATGAAGAATAAAGTCAAAATTTCAATAAGTTACCTAAATTGTAATTTACCCTAAAATAACCACTGAGGAGTTCTTTAAAAATATTCAAATATTTTTTCTGCAAGGGCAAGAAAATAAGTCTGGCATCTAAATGTATTATACAGTATGATAAAAAAAAACGGCGTCAACGATGGCTATGAAATGAAAATCGCTGTCGTTTTATATGTAAATTTATATGGGAAATGTAACTGATCGTCATTTCCCAGCGAACTGAACGCCGTTTTTTTTCAATCATACAGTATTAAATATATATTTTGTTTACTTACAATATAATCTCTAGCTCTACACATTAGTTCTGCAGGCACACCACTTGTAGCAGAAAAACTATTGTCTGGATACAAAATCTCTGACTTTACTACCCAGTTTCCTAAAATACAAACAAAAAAAATTAATATTTATAGTCAATTACGAGAGAAAATCTTTGCAACCTATAACTAAAACAGCTACTTTTTGGAGGTTCTTCAACAAGGCATCCGCTGTTACTCCTTCAACACCGGCAAGCAGTAGCATGATTTGTTGAAATTGTATTATTTGAGCTAAAAAAACAATATTTTTATTTATTTTTAAATATTTCATAGAAAATAGTACCTTCTTTAAGTAGTAATCTACACTGTTCTAAAAGAGGCAACCCTCTCAAAGCATGCAGCGATAAAATATGACTAGGTAGCGTTGGCTCCAACGGTTTATGCTCTTGATCTTCGGGCACCAACAGTTTCACATATTCTTCTATTCCCAAATTTTGAGCTTGCCCTATATCATATAAGTTATCCGAGATCAATTTTAATTTTTCTACCTGTTAAAAACAAAACAAATTAATTATAGTTGTTCCAATTGAAATTAAAGTTCTTTACATACATCACTAACTGTGCTGCCTTCATCATACCAGTTACATTCAGTCCATGTTTCTTGCTCCCTTTTTGCTTGCAACAATTGATAGTTCGCATCGCGAACTTTCTTTTGGTCAGGATCTTCAGCTTGTTTATATTTAACAGTTACCTATAATATAAGACAAGAGAATTAAATAATACAATCAATATTATCTACCTTAAATAATAACCTGTTTAGCTGTACTAGGTCCTGCCTCTTCTTCATCCGACTCAGCGTTATTTAAAATGTCCTTTTTTCTCTTTAAACCTTTGTCAAGGTAAGGAAAATAAGGCCTAAGCTGATACACATCTAAAATGAACTATATATTATAAAAAAAATATAAAGATTAATTCATTTCACCTGTTATAGAAGTTATATGTACTTCTCGTCCATTATAAGCTGCAATAGCATAATTTTCAGAATCTTTAGTACATCCCACCGATTTTAAGAATACCTTATCAACTATCTCGTTTTCAAAATACGGCTTTTTGTTATTTTTTGAACTTGCATCTCCGTCGATTTCATTAGCGATCAATTCTGCCCGACCTGGAGCAAAATAAATTCAAAACTAATCCTGCAAATTTTTGCTCAGTATTTTACATACCTGAGTCAAAGTTTGGTGACTCTGTATTGATGGACATTTCTAGCATTAATTCCTTGTTTTCTGGTTTATAAAGACACTTTTTTATTACGTTTTCATTTTGACAAGATTTGGTTTTAAGGGGGAACTGAACTAAATGCAAAATTGATTCTAGCTTTGTAGAATGAATTAAGGGAATCTAAAATACGTTTCCTTTAATAACTTATCTAATTGTAATATCAATATATGGAACAAAATCCTACTGATAAGCATGCTAATTTTCTACATATTTTTACTTATTTTTCAAAAATCTATTGGAATTAATAGTAAATGATACGCTTTTAATTAAGAATACAAAAATGCTACCATTTAAACCAAATTTTATAGACTTATTCATATTATTTAAAACGTTTTAAAAGGAAATTTGGTAAAATTGGTGGTACACATGGCAAAAGATTTTGCTGTTAATGTAGATATGTTACATTAATTTACCTCTTTTACTACAGGATCATCTTCGTCACTACTCTCTGCCTTAGTACTCGGGCCTGCTTCATCCATTTCCAGTGAGATAGTACGGATATTTAAAAAATAATAAAAATTTAAACTAACAAATCAACCATAACCTAACTTTTTTTCAACAATAAAAACTAACGTGAAGTTAGCTCAAGTTAGTTGTCAATGGATATACCACAGAAGACATAATATAAAGGGTATCCATTTGAAGTTAGCTATGGAAAAAATCACCGTTACAGGTTTCTTTTTTATAATTTCAAATTTAAAAGCGCCTTTTTAACAGTTATTACTTAACTTTAATAATTTCATTGGTTATATTTCATTATATTTAAAAGAAGGAGTGTATTTTTAATAAAGATGATGTCTGAAAAGGAATGCATAGATTTGAACGTTTTTGCTCAATTGTTAAGAGAAAAAAATGTTTATTGTGTGAGCGTCGCGGCGTAGGTTGACGCCGGCGCGACGCCCGATCAGCTGGATCTGTTCGGGTCCGCTCAACAGGTCGGCATGCTTTTAGACCTATCGCCCCGCGCTAACCCAGATGCCCTTTAGGAAAGGCCCCACGCCGCACAGCCGCAACCCCCCTGGCAGGGCTCCCAGCGATCCCCTCACAGCCTGTCTGGACGCCGAGAGTACGTACATTTGTACCGCCTTCAATCCGAGATGTTACATTATCCAGAAGGTGAGTTCCATATGTTTACCTAAGGCTAGGTTAACTTTTTACCATATTTTTGTTTATTATGTGCGATCTAGGAGACTATTTTAGCGCGTTTGTTAAACAAATGACCAGTCCAGTCTCTTTTAACGATATAATGATCTTTTAAGTTAATATTTTTATACCTATAGTATCCATAACAATATTAATTATATTAATATCTTAGATATTTGAAGATAAAAATACCCATATGGATTTTAAAAAATATATATTTAAATGATAATGAATATATTTAGAGTTAATGAACTAAATAAGGAAATATCTTTTGCATTTATGTTCCATTTATTATAAAGAATGGTAAATTTGGGACTGTTTAAAGGCAAATATTGTTGTTTTTGTTTATTTTCGTAGAATGAGTTTTGAATTCGATTTAAATAAGGGGTGTAGGCGGCAAATGCGCGTTTAGCTGCTCGATCGATAGTGTTTAGGTAGATCACGGGGGTGGATGACAATTCTGGGGTATCGATATCGAAATTTTTGTATCGAAATTTTTGTATCGACATTTTAGTTTAATTATTTTATGAACTGAAAAGCAAATTGCACTATAATTATATATAAAATTGGTTAAAAAATATTGAATATATGAAAGGATAGCGTTACGCATAGTAAATACTACAATTTTTATTTTAAATAAATCATCCAAGGTTTTCTTTTGTTATCGTACCGTGTTTTGTCGTATATATTTTAAACAGTTGAATGTTTTACGTTAATGAAGGAATTTACTTTTATTCGTACTAATATTGTAAATTTTTGATCTGGCGACTGTCTCTAACGATTATAATATGATGCGTTTCAAGATAAATTTGAAATAAAGAAAAACAAACTACCGAAGCAGGAAGTTCAGCTGATACTTTCCCTTGTTGTGTCGATTGGCTAGATAGAAACATGCCAATGTCCGTTGGCATAATAATTACAGTCCGTAAAGTATGCCAGTATACGTCGCACCTGATGAAAAGTTGATTCGCATTCAGAAAACTTTGTTTTTGGTCGTACGTATCACGATTTGATTTTGCCAAGTGTATTTTTCGTATAAAAACTAGTTTGCGTGACGAATGTTTGTTTTTTTTCAGGTGAACCAGTCTGGTCTGCCCATATCTCCGCCCCTGTACGGCCCATCGACGTGCGGTGCCTTCTCAAATGAAATCGAAGGAAGTGGTCTGGATTCTAATGTAAATTTAGGTGCTCACGGTTGGGATCATTGCCAGTCAACGCCGCATCCGGATTATCCGTGTCATCATTCTCTGGACGGTAAGATTGAGCGATCATTTCGAACGCAAAATATACGAAACGCGTCGAGTTTTGCGATTTCAATTAAACTTTCCGCCTCGGGCTTTGTACGGTTCGGTCATAGGAGGCTAGGTGGCGCCACGTGTCGTATTTTTGTCCGATTTACCAGTTCTCTGTGGCATGTGCCCCTGCGACGGCCATTTTGCCAGTTCGGTGTGAAATTGTGTTGAGTTTTGCAAAGTAATTAAAAGCGGTAAGCTAAACTCTCTGTTGATTGTGTAGGTTAATTTGTGTTTTGACGAGGTGCGTCGAAGCTGTCGCGATTCGCGTGCCAAAAACCGACAATCGACGACGAAAACATCTGCGGCGGCTAATCTATGTCCCGTGCCTCCTAGGACAACCTAAACCGATAGGCACATGCTTTCGGCTTAAAAATTTGCGAAACTACGTCGTGTTGGACGGTTTATTTTGCCAAATTGAGTGAGTTTGTTCTGAACGAGGCCTGCTGTCCCTTCTCAGGTAGTAATTATAGAGAAATTTCGGTTTATTTTCGAATTTTATAGTACACTTTTTGCGCCTGCCAGGGCAGTTCGTTACTCGTTACGTGTTGAGGGGGCATTTGATCGCATTGCCGTCTTCGTTTTCGTCGGTAATTGCCAATAGCACGTACCTTCTCCAATTTGAAGTTGACAGATATGTGTCAACACGAAAATATGCCAACCGATTGGTAAAATTAAACTTGTGGCGATTCCTCGGTCTCCGAAACCCAAATTGGAATTTAGTGTCGGTCAGTTTCAGTTCGTGGATTTTTCGTACGGAAATGCATTTTCGTAAATGCTATTACGGCTGCTAGAAACGGTTCTCAGTTGGTTCAGTGTAAATGACCTTGACGTAAAATATTACACCCATCACTTTCAAAATAAGGTTAGGTTCCACTTCTGCTGCTACTGTCACCACCTTTAATACCATGCATGGTATGTACTATGTTTTATAATATTTAAATTTATCTGTCTTGCCTTTTGTACCTGTAACTTTCACTATATTCTTTTTCCTATAGATTTAATGTTACGATTAAAAAATCCACGCCAAACTGTCAGTGAATGATTTGGCAGAAATACTTGAAATTCTAGACCTTTATTTCACTTTGTTTTCCATATTGACTGGTAAATTGGGGTCTTATAACAATCGTTCTACTAATCAAGCCTGATTATACGTTTACTTTCTATAATAACAAATATTTTATTACTAATTTTCCATACCACAACCATTTTATACATATATAATTTTTCATTTTTTAACATCATTTTGGCTTGCACATTCTCCACAATTTTATTCTAAAGTAGAAATATAATTAGATTTGCCATATCTCGCATTTCAAAATGTTATTCAATATCTCAAATAAATACAAGATAATCACGGCGAAACTCGTTTAATTCAAACCTTTATAACATTTTAACAAATTTAAAAGTATAATTCTAGGACTTCTTGATTGATAAATTTCAATATATCTGAATATGTCTTGAATAATACATTGTATATATTTTCGTGCATCGTAGGTATATGACTGATAACAAACTAAACTTACTTACTGATATCAGTTGATCAACCTTTAACATTAACTTATACATGTATGTTCACAAATATGTATTTTTAAGTGAATAAAATACACTTGTTACCATGCAGGTGTTCAGGAAACTATATTACCTATAAAAGCATTTAATTTTTATGCATTTTGTTTAAATTTTTGCACAATGTTTACAGTGTAGAATAATACTTAATTCTAAAATAACTGAGATTAACGGTTGGTTTAATAATTATCTCTAATAAATAATATTATTTCTCCTAATAAATCAATGTTATGTAATTACCCTTTGTAATAAATGTGGATATGGTAAACCAAATCAAAAAAATCTATGCGTCATATTTGTTTTACTTACGTTTTAAAAAGTATTATTCAATAACTATGTTTACGATTTAACCAATATGGCGCCATCAAATCTTTAAGCAAACAAGTAATTTTATAATTTTCAGCACTGCATGTTATTAAATTTACAAAACTAATTCCTTACTAGGTACCTACATATTTTAACAAATTGTTGAACTTTTCTTGTTTTAAATAGACGGTTACACAATGTTCATGTTAATTGCATAATATATTCAATATTCTAAAGTGACGAAAAAGACATTTACAAGAAAACTTCTGTCATAGTACCTAGGTATTTAGCTTTTCCTTGTTGTTTCTATCTAATCAGTTTTGTAGTTGGCGCTTCTATTACAGAAAATATCAATTAGACATAATATGATTGATTGTGTCTGTAGTGGAGTAGTACCTAGTAAATTGCACTCATTATAGATACAGTGTCTAAAAAGCATGATTTGCAATGTCATAAAACTATTCATTTTCTCCTTTTACAAGCTTTTATGCACTACCTATTACTAGGAAATTTCGAGGGAAATTTGTTATTTATTCTATTTGTACTTTTATTGTTTTATTATTATTGCTTGCCAGGTATTAAAAGTCTTGAAAAACGCCTAATTTGTAGAATGAAAGTACCTCTTTGTAAAAGCCTCTTTGTTTTTTTTTATATTTTAATTAAGAGGTTTTTGTGTTTATTGTGATAATGAGGGTGGTTTATTGTGTTGTTGTCATTAGAGATATGACTTACAGAAATTATCGAACTTTGACCTTTATAAATATGTTAATTTTGATGATATTCTGAACTAAAAATATACAGTAGTTTTGTTTATACACTCAAGATGCAAAAAAAATGCAGCTGAACATTTTTTCATCAAGTTGAAAGTGTTATATTTTATTTACTTGTAGCCCTATTTTTATAAAAAATCATAAATATAAACTTTGGTATTTGGCTTATTATACAGGGTTAATTGAAGGGTTGTTTTTTATCTTAACTTTAAAACACCCTGTGCAATAATTTCGTGAGTGACTTTAACTATCATTTCTTTATGATGTTATTTTTCAATATCATGAGGTGGTGGCTTTGGTGTATATGTTGGATGCAGATGCCGAAAATTAGACATATGACGATTATAATTAAATATACCTACCTATATCCACAAAGTTACGCGGAAGAGTTTTGATTGCATTGGTTTCAACTTCTATGCAGAGGGTGTTCATTTTTTGTTGTTATATTATACCAAAAAAGATTAACCCTCTTGCAAGTTTAGTATGGACAAATCGCCAGATGTCTAATTATTTCGGACATTGACCGGAATTCGGCATCTGCCTCCAACATATACACATATCGACACTGATTATAACTCTATATTAAGATTTAAAGAAAGTAAAAATGTAACGATACACCCGATACGGGTTTGGTTTTAACCTTGATTATGTATAAATAGATGTACAATGAGGGCTTAGTACAAGCCCGTCTTCTAGGTGGCGCCTTGCCCGTTCTGAATTTTTGTATTCCCCTACGATTTTCTTTGAGGGGAATCCGTTAAACCCGCCCATCGTTCAAAAATGGAAGGGCGCGAGGTCACATCTATTGGGCCACTTATTAGCACGTTTCACGCATGTTTTACGAAAATAGCTCTATCCTTGTTTGTTTCAACTGTGACAAGAAAAAAAAAGGAAAAAAGTCATATTCGTTTCTAAATTCGGCAGTTTTGTTTATCTTTCTCGACTTCTGATTTCGTTTCGTTTAGGTTATGTCTTAAAAAATAATTATTTATAAGCTTTTGAGTTAAAATATACCTTAATGCATATCTAAATAATTAAAAAATAAATTTTTTTCGTCCCTCACGAAGAAACGAAACAGTATTTTTGAATATTTGGATTACAAACTATTATTTTATGAGTTTTATGTGTTGTGTTTACGTGATGTGTAATGTGTATTTTGTACCTGCTGGATAATATTTTGAAACATATTTAATTAAACAAAAAGCATCTGTATTACAGGTGAGTAAATACTGTTCATACTTATTTCTAAATTCATATAAATTTGTTTTAAATCACTCTTGGTTTTTAGAGTTTTTATCTTAGAGTTTTACCTCATAAAGAGTCTGAGATAAGTTTAATAATAAACATTAAATTTGATAGATTGATAGATAGATTAAACGATAATGGCCAGTTGACTTAAAAATTTAAAAAATACTGATTTTTTGCTATAAATTATGTTTCATTTCTTACTTTGCTTTTTTGGAACTGTCAGATATATTGTGTATTTTATAATTTTTCTTAATTAATAACGTAAAATATTGTTTATCTACACTCAACCCTGTGTTTAGATAAAGCTTCATATCAGATTTCCTATTTTATATTTTCACTCAAATCATATTTTTGTAAAATAGGTATGCTTGCATGCAAAAGTAGCGTAAATTTGACAGGGAGGTATTTTTATAGATATACAGGATGATTCGTAGATTTAAATACATATTTACTTTAGAGTTGTATAGTTTGTCAAAAGAAAAGCTATATTTTTTATTTTTTCTTGGTGAATTTGTCAAAAAATTGTCATTCCAGAAAATACTATAATGTCGTAATCGTATAGAGTTCATTTTGACCATTTTTGGATTAAATTTTTTTGTTTATATAATAAAATATATATTTAAAGCCCTTTCTAAGTTAAAAATAAGTAATATGGAAGTTTTTTACTGGAACTAATTTAAGGTAATGTTCTCTTCATATAATTATATAAAAATATGCTAAATTCCTAAATTATTTATATGATTAAATTTTCTTTATATTATTTTTTTTGTATTATATACAGGATGAGTCAAAACTATATATTATATTTTTCTTTGCTATTTCAAATGGAACACTGTATTTTATATCATAAATCAACAAATCTTTTATCCAACTTTTGTTTTGTTAAGATCTATATCCCAGATTAATAGTTATTGGATTGTTCTCAAAATTGTCTCTTTGAGAATAAACATGATTTGTTTTTCGCAATTTTTATTAGTAGGTTTGTCGTTAAAAGTGATGTATCTACATATTTATCAGCGACAAAAATTAAGAATTAGATGTCTAAAATAATTTCCTAATTATTTTTTTACTTAGCGTATCAGTAAATATTATTTATTTTATCGCTGCAGCTGAAAATAATTATGTATTCCAAAACAGGACATTACTGTATAAATATCGATTATTTGGATTTAAAAATTATTTTTCAAAACAAAGTTGGAAAAAACTACGTTTATGTCATAAAATGTGGAGTTCTCTTTGAAATAATCGAGAAAAACCCAACATCTAGTTTTGACGCCACCAGTATATATCATGCATTATAGTTCATTATACTGCAATTTATTATACATACGTAGTTTTGTTTGGTGAAAATGAAACTTTCTAAAAGTATTCCCAATTAAAACATATTAAGAATTTCCTACATTATAATTTTGAAAGACGTTTGAGTGGGCAGACAATTTGGTCTAAAATAATCATATGTCTAAAAAATTTAGTCTAAAATAATCAAAAACCACTTAACACATATAACTCGCTTTTAAAAAATCTAAAAGAAATAAGTTTGTTTATTATATTCATATTTTATTAAATTATTATAGGTGTGACTGCTAAGTGGTCGTACTCGCCACTTTAACCAACCATTGGTGGGACCATGGTAGGACCTTCAGAGATTATAATGCGAATTTTTCATACCATGTAAATCTATATACATATATTAATAAATGCGTTTGTTTTATTAAATTTGTTTTCTTATACGGTATGAGCGAAAAAAAACGGCGTCTATTTGTTTACGTACAAATATATGACATCGATATTCATTTCCAAGCCACCTCTGACGCCGTTTTTTTATCGTATGGTATACACTTACATATCCCTTATCCTTTAAATCCGATTTATTTCTAATAATTATAAAAATAAGATACCTGATTGATTCTTCCGAAATATTATAAAATGAGATATCAGGAAATAAATAAAGTTACTTATCTCGTTTGTGTTGGGAATTCAAAAAAAAGGGTATAGAGAATCTTAAGAGACACAGTTCAAATATTATTTTTGAGTATAATGGGTGCTTCAAAAAATGTGGCGGATATAATGAAACATGTTTTTTAATGCAAAACTCTTATTTATAACTTTTGTTTTATTTTTCGATTCTGCCTAAAATTCTATAACTTTTTTTTTTATAAATAACATTAGTATTTGCAAAAAAAATAATTCCTATGTTACATAATTGTCAGTTGTTTCCGAAGTTGGGCTATACAAATTTGGTAGGAGTGTTTTACAGAGGTGAAGAAAAAGATATATGTAAAAATACTTGGAGTTAGATGCTACACTGTGTTCAAACAGTTTTTTTTGGCTGATCCTATATATTATTATTTTTTCTAGTGCTTTTACAAAACCTTTCAACATTTGTTAAGAAAGTATATTAAGTACATCTATACTCTATACAGCTTGCAATCTGTTCTGAATTTTTCAACTTTTATCCTTCTTTTACTTCATTTACACTATAACAAGTTTTGCCATGACAAAACAAAAATTATTTATTATTAAGCATTAAAGTAATTTATATAGTTATATGACATTATTAATAGAAATTGAAGAATTTTGTAAAATCTATCAGAAGAAATTATAATATACCGGGTGTTTTTCAAACGTGGCTTGATTGACGTATTCAATTAGTTTCGGTTATTTCTTGTTTCACCTGAAATGACTACAACTTGGTTTTTAAATGGTACCGTCGGTATTTTTTTACTTTATTTGACAGAATATGGCATTGTGAATAGAATGATTTAATGTCAACTTTTGACATATTTACTCAAAAAAATTGTATTTTAAATTACAATCTAGAGTGCCATGATAAAAAACAACATGTAACCGGTTGTAAAGGTAACGACAGTTTGACTCGATATACGAAGTGTGTGGTACCAAATTACCTATTTACCAGGTACCAAAAAGGAAAAGACAAAAAATATTAGACGATCAAATCAATTTTTCCGAAGCTCCTTGATTAAAAATTAATGGTTTTAACACAGCCATGACACTAGATTGAATTTTAAAATGCTATTTTTTTTAATTGAAAATGTCAAAAGTTGACATATGATATATGTCATTCTATTCAGAATGTCATTTTCTATCAAATAAAGTATAAAAATACCGAGGGTACCATTTAAAAATCAAATGTTGTACTCGTATACATTTCCGGTGAAACAGGAAGTGACCGAAACTAACGGAATACGAATCAATCTCGATTTATGTCATATACCTACTAACATTCCGAATTTGGTAAACCCCGAATTTAATTTTTTTATCTGAAAAAATAAAAAAGTTATAGAGGTGAACCGCTTTTGAAAAAACACTCAGTATAGGCTGCGTCATTGAAAGAATCTGCAGATATTTTTCTATTTTAAATACGTAGTCGAATTTCAAAAATATATATTGAACACCCTGTAGCTCTACCTTAAATATCTACATATAAATATCTAATATTTTTTCTTCATCAACAAATTGAAATATTATAAAACTAGTTTTAGGTTACACCATTATACAAGAAATATACGTAAAAAAAGTAATAGAATTTTACGCAGAATCTAAAATAAAATAGGATGTTACATTTAAAAAAAAAACATTATGTTAAATCCGCCACACTTTTTACAAAGTTACAGACGTAGGTAGGTATAGTTTCATATTATATTCTTTAATTATCCATCTAAATCAAAATCTTTAATTATCCATCAAAAATAAAATATTTATATACCTAATATAATACTTTAGTATCCAACAAGTGGCCATGAAAATCAAAATAAATATAAATCCATGTCCAAAAATAAAAAATGTATAAATAACGCTTTGAGGTATAAATTCGGTTCGAATCAGATAAGATATTTTTATTCTTTACCGAGAATTAAATTCGAAGAATTCCTAGTCCCTACTTCTTTGCCAAATTCAATAGTCTCCGCCCCTTTTTACGTTTTAATTTCTGCCACCAGTTGGCAGCATCGACTTATACAGGCTCATTGACTAACTATTAATATATAAACAAGGGTTTTAATAAAAAATATTAATAACACTAAAAGAACTAACGATATTAAAAAAAATAACTGTAAAAACTAAATGTACAAACAAACAAAAAACTTTAATACAAACATACTCTAATACTTTGTGTTGCCTCCCCGAGCTGCTACAACAGTCTGTAGACGTCATTAATGAGGCTGCAAATATCTTGTTTTATGTTTTCCCATTCCTCTTCAAGGATCAAGCGAATATTCATAATTTCGGCCATCTCAACAAGATCAATGACTTTTGCACAATTTTCGACACTAAGAACCATATTCAATCGTACACAACAATGATCACCATAGCCACCTCGTCATTATGAAGAATAACATCAAAAAGTAACAGTAATTGAAAAAATGTGTGTGGCAAGTTCATTTCATACTCTTAAAAATTAACCAAGGCATGTGTTGACATGAGTCAAAAAACAAAATATTTAGAAGACATGGTTCTGACCGAAAAATAATGTTTTAGGAAAATTTTCTCACGAAATTATTGCACAGGGTGTTTTAAAGATAAGGTAAAAAACAACTTTTCTATTAACCCTGTATAATAAGTCAAATACTAAAATTTATAATAAACTGAGTTTACGAATCAAAGTTGATTTATTTATACCGTGCTGGCAACTGTTACTTTTGGGTCGGCATTTACATGTGTGGAAGTAAATCGCATAGGGATCTTATTAAGTCGGAGTGGTAAAGTAAAATCATGATCGCAAACCGCTTATTTTTAAGACTTTTTTTTCAAGAGATAACTAGATAAAATCATTAGACATGTTTCTGAGCATCTGAAATGGAATTATAAGGATATCGTGAAGGTGTCATTTTTTTATAACGAGAAAACGTCAGTAATCGCGATATTTTAAAAATTCAACTTTTTAACACATAACAGACCATAACTCAAGAACCACTTTAGATATTGAAACTTTTTTTTATTTTCACGATCGGATATTTTACAATATGTTTACATAAGAAAAATTCGATAAGGTTGTTTTTTCCATTCAACAATTGTAAACAATCCATCCATTTATTTTTAGAGCATAGCAATTTTCAGCAATCGTGTAATTTTTTTATTGATAAAGATTTTCACATACTGTCTACAAAGAAAATACAGCAGAAATATTAACAAAGTTCTTGAAAAAACTACAATCTAGTATTTCTAATAGATTTCGAGATATCGACTTTTGAATTCTAATTTTTGAGTTCTAATAGCGCGACCACTATCGAACACCCACTGAATTCCACTTATTTTTACCAAAAATTCAAGTGTTTCTAGCTTGCACTTAAAAAAATTCAAGCTATAAGGAAAATTACAACGACTCGTTAATAAATAAACAAATCAAATATCACGATACGTAATTAAATCGTGAAGCTGAACGCATGACGTACACCTTTCCCTAGAACTTTAAGTACTGACAGAGGTATTGATTGGGTCGACCGGTCAACTGCGACAAATCTGCACTTGTGTCTAGCCCTAGCAGGCAACTATTAAGCCCGACCAATCATGTTAGAGTTTTTGACAAACACAAATGAATTAACACCCTTCAAATACCACGCTAACCAACCTGATTGGTCAAGCTTAATAGTTGACTGCTAGGGCTAGACACTTCTCAAATCTCACTTAGACACTTGTACTCATCTTACATACGGATATCTCGACCCAAGACTAACCTTTGCCAGCCCTTAGTATACTGTTTGCTAAAAAAAATCAAGGAAAAATATAACATTTTAAACTTAACCAAAGATTTTTCCGTTGCTTTGTTATTTTTGCATCTGAGTGTATATTGAGTATAGTCTGTTCAGTATAACAAATTATGACGTTAACAAAGTTAACGGTACCAGACGAAAATTGATCCAATGAGAGAGGGGGCGATTTTGACAGATAACATCCAATGAATAAAAAAAAACATCTACATTACTGTCGCCTATTCTTTCACTGGACAGGCTATACCTATGAATTTGAATATAGTCTGTCCAACGTGCCAGGGAACTTTTGAACAAACGACATAAAAAAATATAGAAAATTTAATTTACTTAGGGTGTATTCCGTTGCTTACCTTGGTTATGGTTTTATGTTCCGTTTCTATCGGTTTCTTGAAAGTTTTCTTATTACGGAACACGGTTCCTGAAAAATTCGGTTATAACTGTCACCCTTTGCTGTCACCAAACTAACCAGCCCGAGAAGGCTGGTTTTTCTGGTTTTATTTGTTAATCAACATTAATCAATGTCATTAATGTGACAGAAATCAAGCAAATATTGGAAGTTCGAGTGAAATTCTCATTTAATTTCTAAAATTTGTAATAATATTTTGTATTTACATCCAAAAGCAATGGAGGCAGGCAGTAAAGGTAAATAAATTCCATTAACTAAATAGAATTACTTTTTAGGACCATTTAAACTTATCATGCAGCCATTGTTTCTTAAAGTCAGGAACATTTAAAGAAAACATGAAAAACAAGACAAGTAATCGTCAATGTTTTGTAAGCTATAAAAATATAAATATTGATTAGATTTGTTTATTTATTATTGATCTGTTTTAATATTGGACCTGCAAATCTTCACTTGAGCTGTCTAGCGAGTTTAACAGTTTATTAATAAAGTACTTTTCAATATTAAACTCCATGGAAAAGAAGAAGCAAACGTAAAAGTAGAGAATAGGTGCATTAAAAATGCATAAAAGATAAATTT